AAACAATACTGCACAGACTAAGCCACAGGAGAGGGCCTTTGTGGTTCTTGTGGGCATTTATAGAAATCACCTACATGCTCTCATCATCATCATCACACATTTGGCTATGAATTCTAATCGTTCCCATGTGACACCATCATTGTGGGTGAAGTGTGCCTGTTCTGTGCATTTCACTCAGGCTAGATAAGCGTTTCTCAAGCTAAAACATGTGCCCACACCATAGGTCGGCATAGCTTGTGGAACTCTCTTAGGCTCATTCATGAAATATATCAGTCTGTTCAATTTGCCTGCACCACGTGAACCAGTTCTAGATGTTTTGCGTCTTCCCATTCGTTTCAGCGGTGCAGCATTGACAACCTCTGAACCCTGCCATTCATTTCTAAAGGTGCAGAAGAGGTACAGCGCTGGTTCACGATTTTCCCGCCCCTCCCACACTGACAGTGCCGGCTTGGTGCAGCCGCGCGTGCAGCTGAGCAGACGACGCTATACTTTGGTGTAGGCACCGTACCTGCCTCCACTAACACGATGTGTTTTTTGCTAAGAAGTTTGTGCCTCATAAACTGTATGCATAATCATTTGGCCATCGGTCAGTGTTACCTTAACGGTGTTAACTAAGTGAACAGAAATAAGGCCTGCATCAGCACATCGTCATTCGTTTTGGGTGTTGCACTGTGCCTGCACCACTGAACTTGCGCTTCACAATTTCTGAACTTTGCATGCACAGCCGTGAACCGGTTTCAATTGGTGCAGGTAAATCAAATGCACCTTGTATATTGAACTTTCCACTCATTGTACTCAGACTCACAAAATTTTTTCTGAGCTGAACTCACCCAAACTCTCGTTCACACATATTTATTTATTTAACAATACTGTAAGCCTTTGTACAGGCCCACACAGGTTCTTAAGCCGGACTCACTCAGACTCAAACGCACCAAAACATTACTCAACCGCACACACTCAGCCTCAGACTCACGGCTGAACCTGAGTGTGAGTGAGTACTACTGAGTCAACTCATGAGTTTATCAGAATGGAATTAGCTTCTTTGATTGTGGTGTCAATGCTCTTTAACACCAATATCTGATGTAATCGCTCTTCTTGGTGCCGCTTCACACAGCATCTTCGAAAACGAGTTCCGAGTGCTTCCAAACCAGTAAAGTCATTTTTCTTGGAGGAGATGTTAAAATATAATAGTCGAGAAATTCCCTGGAAGACTTAGTTTGGGACTGCCAAGGTGCCTCCTTGTATAATTAAAACGTCTAATTAATAAATATTGAAACGGTGTATGAAAAACACTGCTTTGGAATAATGAATAGATGTGAGTATAAATGTGAATCTAGGTAAGGCTGAGTAATGCTGAAAATGTCTAGGTGGAACCTCAAGTCGGCAAAAGAAAGTGGAACTCACTCAAGAAATATATTTTGCGCTTTAGACACACTCGGACTCAGGCTCTCCAAAATTTTGCTTAGCCAAACCCGCTCGGACTCACACTCACTAAAATTTTCTTCAAACAAACTCTCTCGAACTTCGACTCACAAAAATAGTGCTTATCCAGACTCAGACTCATAATGTGAGTCTGAGCGAGTTCGTGTGAGTTGGCCAATGAGTGAGTTCGTGGACCTATTGCCCGAACTCTCTCCTCTTTTTAAAATACTGGTAACAGATGCAAACTTACACTTGTCTTTAACCTTGAAACTTACCATAAATGTTACTGCTCTCTATAGTTTATTAAAAAGCAAATAGCGAACTCAAATTCAATAGAAAATTATTAGCCAAGGCTATTTATATTTTTAGATTCACCCACGAAAATTGTTCTCACAACATCCACGACTTTTCTATGCCTTTATAACTATGGACAGCTTTCAACTTTATTGCATTGTCTGCCAGGCCCCACAGGTACTCATGAGTGACAATTCGAGTGCCGAGAAGGCCGCCCTGCAGCAGACATGGCCGTCAGCAAGGCAGCTTTTGTGCCATTTTCATGTGGCACAAGCGGAGTGGCGCTGGCTGACGACATCTCACAACTCTGTCGACAAAGACCAGAGAAGACGATTCATGTCTGCCTTCCAACTGGCAAGTTTTTTTGCAATCTAGTTGTAACTCTAGCTATAAGATACGAGGTGCATTCGTTGCATCTGCACTTAGTGAACAAATTCACAATGGTCTGCTATTTTAGCATTCGTTTCATGTTTCCAAGATGATGGCGCTGGCATAGCAGCATAGGTGTATAAAAAGCACAGCTGTCATGCAAGGCTAGTTCATGAGTTACCTTCAATTCCCCATAATATAATTTGGAGTGTATGCCGCACAAGATGCCCTAATCTGCAGATGACAACGCAGACAGTATTTGTGTCCATTTTAATCACATTTAAAAAGTACACCAGTAAACGTCTGGTGGGTTCAAATGATTTCAAATGCCATAAAATGAGGCTTGTACAAATATTCAAATGCTTTGAATATTCAAATGAATAATGCAGTAATCAAATTTGATTTGATTCGAAGTTACATTGCTGAAAATTTTGAATTATTGAAACCGAACAAAATAGGTGTATATTAGTCCACATGTAACACTCTGTAAAGGTGGTTTCATGGCAGTGGAGGGATGCTAAACCATGAAAGCTTTTACCCAAGCATATTAGACCACATGTAAAAGTGGTTTCACTGCAGTGAATTGGTGCTAAGCCGTGAAAACACGTAATCAAGAGAAATTCGCACTGCAGCAAAGCCCTACTTAGAGGTTTTAATAAGGAATTACAATGACATCGATTCTGCTTTTTTTTGTTTTCAGTTTAAAAGCTCGTTACACAGATTTATATGCTCTAAGTCTAAGTACAAAAAAATTGAAACGCAGCATATTTTACTGGCTATTACTTGGACTGCACCAAAAGTCGAAAGCTGCTACAATTCGAAGTTGTTGCCACTTCCTTTGATAAAAAAAAAATGGCCTTTTCAATTTTTAAGGATCTGTGCAAGTTTGTTTGGCCATGACAAATATGCCCCTTTTTGTTTATAATATGCAATATATACACTATTACAATTTAATTAGATATTATTCGACCAAAATCACTATTCGCTTCGAATTCACTTCGAACCTAAAATTCCCTATTCGCACAAGCGTACAGAAAATGTCAGCAGCATCAACTTTTATGGACCACCGCTTGGCAATTCGTAGAGCAGACCGCGGCAATCAATTTCCAGATTACAGCGCTGCGCACCGTGCACAGCCTCCATTTCGAAAAACAATTCCTCCGCTCCTTTCCTACACCTGACCAATCCTCCTTTCATGAGCAGTGACACAAATTCGCCGATCGGCGACTTGACGAAGCACGCAGCTCATCGATTGGGTTAAACCAGTCACGACGGCAGGCTACGCCTTTTCCTCCCTTTGAAAGAGAAGGGTGGCGAGACCGCACGAAAATTTGAAACTAGCTGAAACCAATGTTCTAACCCCTGTGAATTCCTTAATAAAGTATTTGCAAAATCCTTGAGGAGGCAGCATGTTCACGGAGCAAAGGTGCACATATTTTTGATTTTTGGTCCTTGGGGGTTGTTTACTGGCCCTTTGAGCTGGGGCAAGCATGTGCAGATCACAAAGTGACTTCAATGCAGACAGTGAAGCATGAATCTGTTTTATGGTGTAGTTTAAAAAAATCGAAAATATCCAAATACGAGCACCTCATTGAAAAATTTCCTGCTATCTGCAGGTCATGTATGCAGACACAGCAGAAAAACTTGAAGCTGCCACTGCCGAAGTGAAGGCCCTGCAACACGATGCCTTCGTGTCTAGAGTTCTGACATTCTTGAGCCGACAAAAAGAGTGGATGCAGCTCTACCGTTTGGACGTGTTGACAAGGGGCCACAACACCAGATTTTGCGGAGGCAACCATACGCGTGCTCAAAGACATTATCCTGAACAGAGTCGAAGCATTTAATGCAGTCGCACTCGTAGACTCGGTGGCTCTGGTGTGGGAGAAATACTTTGAAAGCCGTATCCTCCGCCACGCCTACAGCCGTGTTGCAGCCCATCAACTATTGTACAAGCGGCTGCTGTTGAGAATGCCGAAAGACGCAGCCGAGGCCATCCAAGTCGTAGGCCAGGGACAGTACATTGTGCCTAGTGCGACCCACCCCAGCTCCAGTTATGAAGTCTATGCTGACATAGGAATATGTACGTGTCTTTTTGGTAAACAAGGTGCATTTTGTTAGCACCAGGCTTTGGTGCAGAAAAAGTACGGAGGACTGTTTCCAAATGCTCCGGCACTGAGTACTGACGACCGGTACCAACTGGGACAGCTGACCCGGGGCGAGAAGTGTCCCCCCAGGATATTTTTCGAACCCTTCCAAGAGGAGGAGCCCAGCAGTAGTTCTAGAACCACGGCAGGTACCAGTGCCCAGCAGGAGGAGCCAGACGAACTCCAAACAATGCAAGGCACCAGCACGCAAGAGGCCACACAACTCGCACCCGTACCGTCAGTGCCTGATGCAGCTTAACTTGCCCAGGTAGGACAAGCCCCTTGAAAGGGCCCTGAAGTACTTTTCAATTAAACATAGGGAATGCTACTGAACAGTAGTCAAGGCTTCTTTTATTCCTGTAAGCATATTATTGTGCTCCACCGCACTCACGAATTTACAATTTCATATTGGTGGATGTCATCATTCTGAGGGCGATTTCAAGATTTCAACACTATTGGTGTCGTATTGTTCCATGTTTGGGACTACAGGTCACCAATTGTTGGTATTAGCAGCACTTCCACTAACAGAATAGTCAAAACAGGTGACAGGAAAACCTTAACTTAAACTGACTCCTCAGCTTGAACTTTATTCTCGAGCAGTTGTCTGCAGTTAGAAAGGAGCAAAATAAATGTGCAGTTCTTGTTGGTGTGCTGTACACTTGAAGTATATTTCTTTCATCACTTTTTGCGCAGGCCCAAGAACATGCATATGAGTTCCTGGAGGTCCAGTTGCGGCGTGTGCATTCTGTGAATGCACACAATCCAGCTTACCTTGATATCGTGAAGGGCCTTGCAGAGGAGCTTGCTCTTGTTCAAAACAGCAGCGATGGGACAGGACTGATGCTGGCATTCAAGGCTACCGCTGCAGCAAGACGTCGCCGGGCCCGTCACATAAGGGTGCAACCGACCAGCACTGCTAGGCGTAGGCCAGGGCTTACAAGGGGGTACAAGAGGGTCCCTACAGGGCGCCCAGCAGTTGAGCCAGCTGCCAAGAGAGCAAAGAAGAGGCCCCATTCTTTGAGCCACAGCATAGAGAAAAATGTGCCTGGCGCAACGCTGCACTGAATGGCAGCTGCCTCCCATCAACTGGGCTCACGACAGTTCTAGGCACAGAGCAAACTTGGTTTCAAACATCATTTCTAGGGTTTTATGTGGCGAAACGATATGATTGTGAAGCACACCGCAGTGGGTGACTGATGATATGTGGGGTTTAACGTCCCAAAACCACCATATGATTATGAGAGACGCCGTAGTGGAGGGCTCCGGAAATTTCGACCACCTGGGGTTCTTTAACGGGCTCCCAAATCTGGGCACACTGGCCTACACCATTTCAACCTCCATCGGAAATGTAGACACCACAGCCGGGATTCAATGCCATGGCTTGCGGGTCAGCAGCCAAGTATTTTAGCCAGTAGACCACCGCGACGGGGCCCACAGTGGGTGACTTCGGATCAAATTAGGCCATGTGGGATTCTTTAAAGTGAACCTAAATCTATGCGAAGGAGCAGTTCATCGCCACTGCTGCACTTGATGCTTCATCTTTGATTGAACCAAAGCGAGAACGACTCCTCGCACTAGCTGTAATATCATAACCTTACAATTAGTCACCTTAGCCACAGGCAGAAGCATTTGGCTCTGCACTACTACCTCAGTATCATGCATACAGCCTTGTCAAAGCTGATGTTAAATAATGGTGCCCACTAATCCCACTAGTCTCTTGGATCCACCAGGTGTGGCCCTCACAAGTCACAATCAGATACTCATCAATGTTGTGCAGTAGCATTGTGCCATTCCACCATGAGCGACTTTTGTTTCGCCTTACTGTCAGGAGTAACGAGCTCTTCAATTGCGTTTTTTGAGTGGCGGGGAGGTTAATGTCCTAAAACCACGACACTGACAGTATTGTTATGTGCCGCTTACCTAGAAACCGAAGAAGTTAGAAGACTAGGTGGTGCCTGTCCTGGCCATCGTGGTTGTTTTTAACCGCAGTATTATTACTATGAATATTGTAAATACACTCGTTTTCTGTCATCTCCCCGTAATATCTTTGGTGGAGGTGCTGGGCACATCAGGAGCACACAACGGAACTTCGCAGCGGGCGTATTCTTGGACAGTCCATCATGCCGGCAGACAATTCTGCTGATTCAGCCCCCGCTATGCCAAATGCACCCAGTCACATTGTCAAGACCCACCTCCGAGGCCCAGGCCCCTTTTGCGGGACTGCTGATAACAGTCAGGTGGAGAAGTGGCTGGCCAACTAAGAGTGCAGCAGCGAGACCAATCGCTGGGATTCGACTTTGGTGCTTGCAAACGTCAGGTACTACCTCAGGGGTAGGGCCAGCGTGTGGTTCGACACACACGAGGAGAATTTAAACGTACGTAACAAAAAAAAAAGACGTATGTAAACAAAAAACATGAAACACCTTTTTGGAAAGCCCATTGCACGCCAACATAAAGAACTCTCGTGCCATGCCCAAACCTCAAAGGAGCTGCACATGGTTTACATACAAGATGTCTTAGTCTTGTGCAACATATACGTCGTAACACGAGGCAGCTGGCTGTTTGCCTTTATTTTATTTGGCTGAAATCCAGTGTTGCCTATGGACACCAATGATGCCTCCTTCAACATGTCCACTCACTGAATACGCTCAATACGCTATAGCCCATGCCGACCATACACGTCAACTTGTGTGCATTCGGCTAACCAACTCGCAAGCGGGCCAACGATTTCGTTACGAGAGCAGTCATATAAACACTCACTTTCCTCCAGGATTCCTGTGCTGTGGTCTCCAGCACGCTGTATTGGGCTTTTTACAAAGCTACTGTTCTCGCCCTCCGGACCGTCCCCTATGCACCGCTAAGTGACCGTCGTGACATAAGAAATTGAATTGTCTTTGTCCTCATCGACTCAACCCCATACCAACATCGTTTACGTTGTACGTCTGAAGCCATGTCATGCACCGGGCTGCCGCAACGCACATGTATAATAACCACCTCTATACCGTCTTTCTCTGACTGCACCGAGTCGGTGCCTTCACCGCCGGAGGGTAACAATATGTGCCGCTCACATAGAGAGGACGAAAAAGTGAAGGACTAGGTGGTGCCTGCTCTCGCTATCTTAGTTGTTTTTACCCGCATTACTGTAACTGTAAATATTGTAAATATACCTGTTTTCAGTCATCTACCAGTAACAATATCATTTATGAAACACCCGTTGGGGCACAGACATATTTTTGGAGAAGGTTTTTGGGCTATGATTCTATTTCGGGCCTTACAAGGTTTTACAGCGAAATACTGAAGTACCCTATGAGGTTCTCCCAGAAGGCACCTCAAGAAACTGCTATTAGCTTCCAGAAAGTGTAGTCGCGCGCGTTTCTAGACTTTAACCGTATTTTTCTTGCTCCGACTCGTCTAATTTGCAACATTACAGTGTATTGACAACTTAGCATGGTTTCTTTTAATTCATCTTTTCCATTTTGTTGTTTGCTGTTTATTCTTATTTGATACCTTGCTTGATAGCGGCCAATTAAGCTATTTTGCATTATGACACGCCGTCCCATTGTATAGCGCACTCATCCTTTTTCTTTCATTCCAATATCCTGCATCGAGACTGCCACCGCGGCCTGGATTTCAATGACGCAACCTGCAGGTCTCCACTAGATGTGATGGGTTGGTCCTCAGTGCTGTCGGCCCACATCACTCAATATATAAAACGGTACCAGAACACCACTTGTCTCCACCAAGTTCCCTGCAATGCACACTTATGCGTTAACCCGGCAAACTACCTGTGCTGTCAGCAATAGTATGCCCTTCTGTGAACACCACATCATCCAGTGCATCATTATATGATGGCCAACTACCGAGCCCACATTTTTAGTACCGATGTGCCACTTGCATTTTCAATTTTAGCTCAAAACAACAGAGCCCTACTCTAGTCTCAAGATGGCTGAGCCTAAGAGCAGTATAGTGCTTTCTGGTCAACAGAAAGTCAAATTGATATTGCCTGTGTATGCACCATGCTTCATCTGTGTACTTTACACACATTGGCATGACAGCATCGTGTCGATAGTGTCCATTTAATATATGTGCCTGCTATGCCGCTTCCACTGAAATTCTAACAAAAACTTTGTGCTTTTTGAATCAATACTTCTTTGCAGACTAGTTGGTTTCATACTTGAAAACTCTGCTTGCAGTGCAAGCTGAGAAGGGGGACAGGAAAGAGTACGCTCTTTCCCGTCTCCCTTCTCATTTTCCCTTCAGCTTGCACTGCAAGCAGAGTTCATTTTGCTTTTCAAAGTTATAACCATGACTGTTCGTACATGAACTCACCAATGTGTACATTCACGTATGTCTATCCTTGATGCATAAAGTGTTATCTTTGTTGTGTCATTCTCCTGTAAATACCTTCAGTGTTCTCTCATGGGACAGTTTTCATGTTAATAAATTATTATCTCATGTATTGTATACTTTTGCATGGGTATAGTGGTTACAACAGTTGGCAGCTGTGATTTTAGTAAGCTTTGCCCTAATACATTCTTTTATTGAAGAAGCCTCTCAAAGGAGACATCATGCAGAGTAGAGCCGCATGGAGTGCACTCTACAGTTTCATGGATAAGGGTGGCAGTTTATTTTCAGATCACATAATAACACAGTGGGGCGAAAAAAAAAAAAAAGCGACAACCACAGACGGGCGAGGATAACTGCGAGTCTAACTTGCCTTCACCTGAACACGGGGCCGTATTGCAGTGAAGCCATGAAAAAAAAAAAAAAACATCCGCGAAGAGCTCTCCAATAAGTTTAATTCTCTTGTCTCAAATTAGTTCGACTAAAGACAATGTCTTGAGGCTGCATGCTTTACTTTTAGCTTCGACATTGTGGTAGTGACGCACGACAAGGTTTTGCGCGCAGGCTTTCAAGGATTTTACGATCGCACGCATGTATCACCACTACATTTCTGTCCTTGCTGCCCGAACTCAGTTCGTAGCCTTATTTAAAACGACAGTATCAGAAACGCGCTTTCAATAACAGCATGCTGATAATCAACAAAAACTCACCAAGTGGAGTTCAGTAATCTCCGGTGCGGCGTTTTTCGCAGCAGGCCTAGGTGTATCAGGCGTAGTCAGTCGACTCGGCTTCAATGCATCCTGAACGGCGCGGCTTTGCGACTCGGCAGTGAAAGGTGGGGCACACGCTTTCTTCATGAGTATCCAACTCGGCGTAGGGCGTTCATCAAGGAGGTTATACTAAACTTTCTGGAGTGGCGGAGGGGCTCCGCGGCTGACGCCACGCGCCGCCATATTGCTCAGGGCAGAAAGCGGTCGAACGCATTGTAACGCGTGCATGTGCGTGCGGCCTCTCCGTTGTTTTTCTTGAGTGCGGTGCCTCTAATCGAATGAGGCCGCTGTGGCAGACGACTGTGACCTCTTCTGAAGACGATGGTGGGCTCTTGCGCAGCATTATGCTGCGCAAATCGCGTGAAGCAAACACCGGGGATAACTTTTCACGTGTAAGTAGCGTGCTTTGCTCGCTCGCTTTCCCTCGCATATTTTTGCGATTACGAATGCATTCGCGCGTACAAGCATTTCCCATTTACGTCCCGGTGCCATGGAGACACTGTGAAACATTTTTGTGCTTTGCAGGTTTCCCAAAGACTGCGAATTGCGCAGTGCATGGGAGCGCGCTGTGAGGCGAGAAGGTTGGACTCCGAAGAAGAATGACGTCTTGTGTTCAACGCACTTTGAAGCAGACTGCTTCGATAGAACAGGGCAAACAACGAGACTACGAGCTGGTAGCATCCCTACCAAGTTTGCAGCGTTTCCAGCGCACCTACAAAAGCCAGTGAGTACGCTTCGTGAGCTCTTCGTTTACCAAATGTAGTTATTGTAGCGTTAGCTCCGCATCTCTGGGATTTTCAGTTTCTAATATTTAGTTGCGCATTCGCTCTAAATGCCTAAATTTCTGACGCTGTCGCGTTATTCCTCTTTTTGCGTAGGAGAAGAGAAAACGAGCTCCTCCAAAAAGTCGGGAGATGCCTTCGCCTCAGGAGCCTGTTTTGGGTGAAGCTGCCGAAGTCTCCCCCCTGCAAACTCCCCCCCCCCCCCCCCCCCCCGAAGGAGTGGTACAAGCAGAAAGTGCATGAATCGGCGAAAGAGGTACAGCAGCTGAAAAAGAAGGTCAAGACGTTGCACCAGAAGAAACGGAGACTTTCAAAACGCATTGATGCTTCTCAGGATTTGATTGAGCAGCTAAAGGAGCAGAACCTTTTGTCGGAAAAAGGGTTGGAGGTTTTCCAAGCGTCATTTTCTCCGGATATCCAGCAGCTTCTCAAGAGAACTCATGAAAAGACGAACAAATACCCCCCAGAATTAAGAGCATTTGCACTGACGCTTCACTATTATTCGCCAAGGGCTTATGATTATGTGCGAGCTAAGTTTAACAATGCTTTGCCAAACCAGCGAACTCTTCGCGAATGGTACAAGGCAGTGAATGGTGATCCTGGCTTCACCTCAGAATCATTCGAGTTTATCAAGAACATAGTGCAAGGAACAGATGAGCCACTGGTCGCTGCCATAATGGTTGACGACATGTCTATTAAAAAACATGTCCAACTTGTGGGCAACAAAGTTTTCGGATATGTCGACTTGGGCATGGAAATGCCAGATGACAGCCTCCCAGAAGCAACGAATGCCTGTGTTTTCATGCTGGTGGCACTCAATATGAGGCTGAAGGTGCCCCTTGGGTATTTTTTCATTGATTCTCTCTCTGGTTCTGAAAGAGCGCAGCTAACGAAAGAGTGTATCTCGCGCGTGACTTCAGCAGGTGTCATAGCAGCATCACTGACTTTTGATGGAGCGGCCTCGAACTTTTCAATGGCCAGTTTTCTTGGTGCTGATCTCCGCTGTCGTTCTCCGGGATTTAACACCTCATTCCAGTGCTTAGAAGATTGCCCAAACAAAGTATTTGTGATTCTAGATGCCTGCCACATGATCAAGCTTGTGCGTAACTGCTTGGGATCAGTAAACCACCTCACTGATATTCAAGGGCGCAAAGTGAAGTGGTCATACATTGAAGCTCTTGAGGCCTTGCAACAAAAAGAGGGCTTGCACCTTGGAAACAAGCTGACGAAAGTTCATCTGGAGTGGGCAAAGCAAAAAATGAAGGTTCGACTGGCTGTGCAGACCCTTAGCTCATCTGTTGCTGATGCACTGGACTTCTGCGAGTATAAACTGAAGCTTCCCCAGTTTCAAGGTGCCCACGCAACAGCGGAGTTCATTCGAATCTTTGATCGCCTCTTCGATATTCTGAACTCGAGGAACCCTCTGGCGCGATCATTCAAAGCCCCACTGCGGCAGCAGAATGCAGCTTCTTGGAAATCGTTCTTCCACGAAGCCGAGGAGTATATTAGGGGGCTGAAGGATGCAAGTGGGCGACCAGTGATAGATGGACTGAAAAAAACTGGGTTTGTTGGCCTCATCATTTGCATTCGAAGTGTCACTGCCCTTTTCGATGCCCTTGTGGCCACGAAAATTTTGAAGTATCTGTTGACGCACAAGATGTCGCAAGACCATTTGGAAACGTTTTTTGGTTGTGTGAGGGGAAAGGGGGGATACAACAACAACCCCACAGCCTGCCAGTTCAGAGCCGCCTATAAGCGCCTCCTCTTCCACACAGAGGTAACATCGTCTGACGCTGGGAACTGCTGCCGAGATGTGGTGTCTATCCTGAACATGTCCAGTGCTGTCAGCCTTGCCGAGTCACCAACAGCAGTTACGTCACACAGGAGGTCGTCGCTTCTGGAGCCTGTGGATGATGAACATGACTACACTCATCGTGTGGATCTCCCCCAGAGCCTTTCAGCGGTGACGAGTGCTGTTGTGCCGTATATAGCGGGATTTGTGGCTCGCAAGGTGCGGTCTGTCACGAATTGTGAGGAGTGCTGTGCTGCGCTGGAATCAAGCGAAGAACCAGACCTTGTCAGAGCAAAAAACAGAGGTGGACTTGTCGCACCATCCAAGGACGTCTTAGAGATCTGCAGTATTGCAGAAAAGGGACTGCGAGTACTACAGCATGAATGCAAGAATTTGAAATCCCTTAATTCTAGCTCAGATAGCCTTTTGGTACATGTGATGACTGCAGTGTTTGAAAAAGCATTGTTCGCGCAGCTGGAGCCTCACCTGCTGGACTGTGACCCCCTTGATAACCATATATATAGCTTATCAAAGAAAATTGCCAGCGTGTACATCAGAACAAGACTTCATCACATTTCTAGGAGAATGAACCAGGAGAACTGTAACAAAAACGTGCGCACACTCCTAACAAGAGAGATTATTTTCAAAAATCTCTAAGTGCGAGAACTTGATTGATGTGTTTTTCTATTTAATTTAGCTCACTGTTAGTGTTTGATGCATTTGTTCTTTTAGTCAGAATTTTAATTTTTTGCTGGAAGATTTAACGTTTGGTTTAGTCAAATGCATCTGGTGCTGAATGTGACTAACTGTAGGGTTTAACGGGCCGACGCATTTCAGGCAATGAGCCTTGCCGTAGTGGAGGGCTCCGGATTAATTTTCACCATCTGGGGATCATTAACCTGCGCCGAAATCTCGTTTTCGCTTTTCGCCTCCATTATAAAAGTGGCCGCCGCGGCCGGTAACCGTGGTGCTGAATGTGGACAAGTGAATAAATATGGTTGTACCGTGAACCTTCAGTTTCCTTTATTGCGTTATTGGTTTCATATTTTTGTTTTCGTCTCCAGCTAGCATTCTACAACTTCTCCTGCTCTTAAATTTTATTTTCGTTGCATCTTCTCGAGCGGTACTTCTGCCGTGAGACAACAGTGTAAACATATAATACAAACTGATATCCTATCGCATCATCTTTAACTCTCAGTGTAAGTGTCAAGAAAAAAATAAATAGGATGTATATTAGTCGTTTCAAAGTTCCCTCGCGTCCTAAGAAAAATAAAGCGGCCCTTTCATTGCTATTACAGAAGGCACGGCTGCAAGCGTACGGGGCACAACGGCGGCACAAGGCAGTCGCCGCCTCCTTCTGCCCTGAGCAATATGGCCGCCGACGGGTTTCCGCGGCTTCACTCCGATACATGGGCGGGTATGCGGGACCGCCACTCCAGAAGTTCTAAGTATAACCTCCTTGGCGTTCATTCAGTGGGAGGTGGGCGCACACGCTTCTTTCGCGAGTATCCTACTCGGCGCAGGGCTTCCTTCCGAGCACTTGGCAACAGGCGTACTGGCGACTCGGCTTTATTGCGTCCTGATTAACGCGGCTTTGCGACAGTGAGAGGTGGGGGCACACGCTTTATTCACGAGTATCTAACTTAGCGCAGCACGTTCGGTCAGACGAGCCGCACACGATTACTTCGCGAGCATCCGATTGCAGGGCCATATGCCTTGGCAGGGCTTCCTTCCGCGAGTGCGACCCCCCGCTAGGCTGCAGCAGCAGCCTCCGGCAACACTATACGAAAGTGCGGGGAGCGACAGCGCAATGATACAGTTAGGCTGGCGGAAATGCATAGCCTCCAAGAGCGCTGGGCCGCGGTGCATTGTGGGTGGCTTTATCCGCTCGCCTTTGTAAACTCGCGGCTGTTTCTGTCTTCAAGATGCGTCCACTCGCCAATAGGCGCGCTGACGGTAGCGGTCATCATGCAGTGGTGCTACTTGGACGAGGCAGCATTCTCAAGTTTGGCCGATGCGCAGAAGGCGAGCTTCGTGTGCAGGCTGTGCGAGGCACTGAAGGCGGCCGTGCAGCGCATGGAGGCTAGCATCGAGGGGCTTCAGGGGGAGCTTATGGTGAAATGGGAGCAGAGGATATAACTCCAAAAACAGCTCGGAGCGTCGCGTGAGCGGGAGGAGACTACCGCCAGCCTATTAGAGCAAATGAAGGGCGGGCAACCTTCGAAAAGAACGGGAAGGGCGGACCGACGGACCGAGCTCGAACAGCGGGTAAAGGAGCTAATGGCGCTTTGGCCCGGCCCCGAGGGGTGTGACACGGAAGGCATGGGTAGCGGAGAAGGCGACAGGCGGGAAGAAACAGACGAAAGGGGAGGTCGCAGTGCCTGGCCACAAGACGGAGGCTCCGAGAACATACTGCTCGGTGGCGCTGCAGTCATCGAGCAGGGCAGGAACACAGGACAGACGGCAGAGAAAGAAACAGGTGAAGCAAACAGGGGCACCATCAAAAACAGGAAGCAGCGATTGGAGCGTAGAATGGTCCTAGTGGTAGGGAACTCTAACATGGTCAGGGTTAGGGATGGCGTCTTCACGACAGTGAAGGAAGATGGGAGAGTGAGGGTGGAGGACCAGTAAGGGAAGAGCATGGTGGATGTACTTGCCAAAGCTTAGGAGGTTGTAGAGGACAGCATGGAGGGCGAAAATCTCGTCATTATTTATGCTGGGCCCAATGATGTGTTGAATGGCAAACACCAGAACCTTCAGAGACAGTTAGAGGATGGGATGAGTAAGCTCCGAGAAGCCTCTGGGAGTGTGCATGTGACCATATGCACAGTCCCAGAGGTCTGGGGGCAATCTCGTGGGATTGAAAAGAGGGTAGTGAATGCCAACTGTGTGATCAGGGGCTAATGTTCACCAGAAGACTTATTATAATCTCAAGTCGAAGAAGCTGGACTTAAGCGTGGGTGACAAAGTTCTCGGGCTGCTACCCACTGATCACAACAAACCGATACGAACATCGAAGGGCCCCTTTGATGTGATAGACAAGAAAAGCCCTCGGGACTATGCTGTGGACCTTGGTCACAGAACTACCGTCTTCCACATCAACATGCTTAAAAATTACGAGCTACGGAAGACCCCTGACACGTCAATGACGATCGCTGCTGCTGTTCGGGGACAGCGTAACGGAGGTGAACCAATCGTGTACGAGCCCGGCGCTCGCGCCTTTGCACAAGAAGGCATTCATTGCAGTGGTGCGGTGGACAGGAGGTTTGGCAATAGGATGGGTCGTCAAGCCGCAGCATTTCAGGGGTACCCAGAGCCTTGAGGCCAACAGTGTATTTATGTTTCGTAACTCATATATGCAGCGCATAAGATATATGTGTATAGTCTGGTACCAGGTGCATTTCCGATTGAGACCAAATGAACATTTCTCAACAACGATTACATTGCCCTCGCTGAGTGCACAATAAAGCCTTTACGATTAGAATACTTCATTGCTATCAAAAGTCACAGTGTGACTGTAATGCCTGCCGGTTGCGAGAAAGTCTGCCCGAAAAATAGCGCTTGCGAAACCGTGTTGCCAACGTGCAGCATAACTGCCCCGCCGCGGTAGTCTAGTGGCTAAGGCACTCACTCGGGTGCTGACCCGCAGGTCACGGGATCCAATCCCGGCTGCGTCGGCTGCATTTTCGATGAAGGCGAAAATGATGTAGGCCCGTGTGCTCACATTTGAATGCACGTTAAAAAACCCCAGGTGGTCGAAATTTCCGGAGCCCTCCACTATATATACGGCGTCTCTCATAATCATCTGGTGGTCTTGGGACGTTAAACCCCATATATAAATCAATCAATCATCAACGTGCAGCATAAATTACAAAAAAATTACTTGATGCGTATCGCAAACATGCTTAGATGCACGCAGTAAAGTAAAAAAAGAATGTTGACTAAAAGCTATCACTGTGTAAGGGATGCTTGACATATAGAGCTTAACATAAAAATCATTCCTGTAGGCATGCAGTCACAAACATCGACAGTAATAAATTATTTGCTGAGCAAAGTAGGCAACCCGAAATGTAATTATAGATGTAGAAAAAATGCTGTGTATACCTCTTATTCCTCGTTGTAAGCGCAGCCGTCCTTGAAGTCTTCTCCGATCAGGTGGTCGTCGCAATGATGCGTTTTTGAAGACTAGTTCATTCAATGGTGCGACGAAAGTCCATTGCTCTAAACGACCACTGTACCTGTCGTTTACCGCGTTTTACTTTACTCTTAGCTACGCTCTTCACAAGCATATAGGCAAGGGTAAGGGGGGGGGGGGGGTCTCATAACTTTGATCTCGTGTACACCGCCGGTAGTTACATCACAGAGGAAAGCTGATGCCTGTGCTGGTCAGTGTGAGCCCCCCTCCCCCCGCCCCCCGAAAAAAACCACACGAAAGTTCACTCACTCATTTCAGGTATTTTCAAAAGGGCTGCTTATATCACCTCTAACGAAGCCTTCCTTATGTATTAAAAGTAATTAAGGAAGCTGTCTAGAGGCATTTGAGGAAAACCTCACATATCATCGGTGACCTCTTTTAGATTATGTTTGAAAAGTTGGACTGGATACCATTGCATCTTTTTAGTCATACCACTCATGATCAGAACGTGATCATCTAGAGCAGTGATATTTTACACTGTAATGAGAATGCTCTTTCTTATTCTTCTTTTTTTTTTTTTGCAAGAAAGCCAATCAAGAATGACAGGTTTCTGAAAACGTGGATAATGCTGGAAATAAGTTGAAGTTACTATAATATTCTGCATATTTTTTGGATTCATAGCCGTCGCGAAGACTTATTTGGTGAACATTGTAAAGCATGAGTACTCCTTTTTTTTTTTTTCAGAACGTCTTTATAGTAACTAAAAGAAAACAAGTGTACTGTTTTTCTAGAGCATTTTGTATCCCAGGAGGTCAACTTGTCTGTAGTGGCAGATCCAGAAGGGGGAGGGGGTAGAGGTCGATCGTCCGCCCCCTCCCCTCCAAAGCCTGTCAAACCAACGTTTCTAGAACTAGGGACAGAACTCCCTCCCTCTCTCTTCAGAGATTCCCATCCACAGATCAGTACTGGAATGCACATGTTGTGTGCGGAACCTTTCAACAACACGAAAGAAAGATTAGAAAAAATTCATTCCATGGCGGCGAGATATGTGTTTAATGCACCTATGTACGACAGACGATTCAGTGCGACAGAATTTAAGCCTAAATATAATGGAAGTTTTTGCAGCACCGAAAGGAGTCGTTTCGACTGAAGCTAATGAACAGCATATTTCATTTTCATACATATAATGTATAGACATATACATTAGCCAGCCTCACTATACAGTACAGCTAGCAAAGATCACGAACACAAAATAAGACAATATAAATGCAACACATAAATGAAAATGCAATACTTTTAGCGACCTTTGTTTTTTTTTTCTCGAGAACTATCGGGAAAGTGAAATCAACTTCCTCCCACAATTGCAGAAATTTTTTCTACTGAGGCGTTCTATCCTGCAATATAATTTATTGAATCTTTCAACCGCTAAGCCTTATGAATTGCGTGTGTGCGCCTTAATTGATTTATATGTGGGGTTTAGCGTCCCAAAACCATCATATGATTATGAGACACGCCGTAGTGGAGGGCTCCGGAAATTTCGACCACCTGGGGTTCTATAACGTGCACCCAAATCTCAGCACACGGGCCTACACCATTCCGCCTCAATCGGAAATGCAGCCGCCGCAGCCGGGATTCGATCCCGCGACCTGCGGGTCAGCAGCCGAGTACCTTAGCCACCGCGGTGGGGCAAGCTGGTAGTCACCATATTCTGACGGTATCTTGGTTGTAAACTGTATTGTTTTGTTCTCGTATTTCACTTGCCCTTATACTGGACCAATGCTGCAGTTTATTTTAATTAGTCTTTGAATTGTCATTCGCTTTTGTGGTTTCTTCATATTTTCTTCAATTGCATACGCATCCTCACCAGAGCACGTCCATTTTTTTTTTCACGTACGGACTTGCTCTCACTTTATTTCGCGTTTGTGCACTCACACATCAGTTACTGCATAACCTCATGGGGTAAAACGTACACCACTTCCCTAAGACCACTACAAATCATCCAGAACTATTCGAATAATCACGTTTAGTTCACCCACCCACAATTCTAAACAGTTGCTACAAGAAAATGAAATTCCCGATGTTGCGGCTCTTGTAAAATTCAATCTCGCCACCTTTCTTTTCAATCTAATCAGTAAACAATTATCATTATCATCAATTCATTCGTCATCTTTACTAAATACTAACCCAACTCGTTTCGCGAAGCATAACAACTTAATTCTGTACAAAGTACGAACTAATTAGGGCAGACAGACAGTTCACTTTGCTGTCATATCATTATGGAATACATTGCCATTTCTGATAAAACTAAAAAAAAAAAAACATGTGACACTCACTCTTCTGCCTAACCGGTTTCTCCCTCGCCATGACGTTTTCTTTTCAGCCTCTTGTTTTTTTTATTTTTTCATGTCAAGCTATTTATATAGATATATATAAATATAATTTACAGTTTGTATTTCCGATTGCATATAGTTGATGAGAGCATCGTCGTTTAATAGTATCTGTATTTCAGTTTCTTAAACCTTGTATTCTCCTATTTTTGCACTGTTGCTGCCAATCAATATTTAGGTTTACATTTCATCGGAGGTCCCATTTTAGCTTATACTACGGAGCCTCCTTCTGTATATTCTTTTTTTTGTACATCTTATTACAAATAATAAAACGATTTGATTTAAATAGGATGGAAAGGTGGGCTAGTTGGTAATTCATGATAGTTCAGCGAACTGGGAGCGCGGGGGTAAACACAGACACAAAGCAAAGAGGAGGCACACAGCATGAGCACTCTTTGTTGATTTGACATTCTGCGACGCAGCTGTGTACGTTTGATGTCTTGTGTGATCTATTTTTTTTTACACGAACCTATGTGAACCTTCAATTTTCATGTTTGTTCGTTTTCTGCCCCCCCCCCCCCCCGCTATAACGCCTGTATGGACGCTATGGGTATTAAATAAATAAATAAATAATGATGATAAACCTGCTATCACCAGTTAGTAAAAAATCTGTGGGACCACCGTGAGCACACATTAACAGTATTTATGCCATTACAGGCTTTTTCTGCTAGTAAAAACAAAAATTTAATGACCACGCCCCGCTCTCCGGTGTTAATTCAAGCGACCGCCCCTTTTCCTAAATTTAGTGGCTGATCCACCCCTTCTGAAGAAGAAGAAGAGCCTGGGAACTGTAGCACACACCCACACTGGGGACTTAGCCATGAACCGGGTAGTTCTAACGAAATACTTTTATTTTCATAGCTTGCGGCTTTTAAAAGAATGAGGGGATCAAGAAAAAAAAAAAAGGGTCTCCCAAATTTTTTCCTATGCACACCTCAACTTTCTCGACGAGAAAGCCATAATTTTAAGGAAACAAAGAAACAAACAAAGGTGTTGCTCCAAGGACTAGCTGTCTGTATGACATCCGCACAACCGAGACACCATACAGCAGTACGACAACATTCAAATTTTGCGCCACAAATGCGTTCGTCGAGGCGTAGTACACGGGGAAACGCCAGCACGTGCACTGCGGAGTCAGTTCAATCAGTGGATTTTGTGTCGAGTCGACCGCTCATTGTTTCACTTGGTTCTTGTCTCCTTGCAGGAACCCGAAAGGGCCAAATTTCACGAAGAAGGCGTACAACGCCTGTTCGTTCCATCACCGTGGGCCAGAGCACATGCATGAATGACGTCACGGCACGTTTCGCTGAGTGACGCACGGCAGATCCGCAGAGCTAAAAAAATTGCTCACCTCATTAGTCAGTGCTGAATAACATTTTTATTTGCAGTAAAAAATTATTTTTTATGACAAAAATAACGACAATTTTTTTCTTTCACAAACTTAAAAAAAAAAGAACTATTTTCAATTTAGTAACACGTTGCAGTCCCGGAGCAAAAGAGCACGTCCGATAAAAGTGGCAAGCCCTCCTCCGCCGGATCCTCTGCTCCGGTGCCACCGAAGTACGCGGGCTAATAGGACATCGCAGCAATCATGTCTTTCGATCCAGTTTCATTCGCGAAGGATTTCGTCGCCGGTGGCGTCGCCGCGGCTATTTCCAAGACGGCTGTCGCGCCCATCGAGCGAGTCAAGCTTCTGCTCCAGGTGCAACATGCCTCCCAGCAAATCTCTGAAGCCCAGCGCTACAAAGGTGAGTCGGAACCGTCGCCCTTCCGAACGCCCGTAGCACTGACCTACAAAATGAACGGGGGAGACCTGGTGCGACCGCCATCTTGAAGTGCACGCGCAGGCCACATCCTCAGGCCTTTTTTGTTTCTTTCTTTTGTACCGGCTATGCGGCTTTTCTATGTGAGCTGCAGCTTATATGCATTGTCGACAAGTTAATAATTGAGCCGCCCACTGCAAGTGCAGCTGCTCGACTTGTTTTGTCGACAATTTGCAAGTGACAGCGCCGGTTGAACGAATGAATGACCTTTGCCGGTGACCGGTAGACCACTGCTCTATGGTCTTGCCTGTAGACGATGTAATCTTTCAATTAGCGTTTTGACTGCGTTGTGTGTAACGGACCTTGGTGGCTCGTTGTACTAACCCCTGTGTGTGCCAGGCTGAGATTTCGCCCCTCCCCTCTCGCTGCACAGAGCTTATCCTCGCGAATATGTAGGCTTCGATGGCGTGCCTGAGCTGTTCCGTTCGGTAACCTGGGACGTAACTAAATTTGAAGAAAATCCGTCTGCATAGTGCTCATGTCCAGCCGTCGACCTCGGGTTGTTCGAACCGTGTCGGACTTTGCTGGAGCAAGAATAATTGTTCATCACTCACTTTCACGTCATTTTAAGCTTCTGAAATTGCTTAAATTTTTTCATTGTAGCGTTCTTCCCGTTCGCCTCCTCTCCATAGTAGTTCTGCGCAAGTGCTTGGTATGTCCCAGAGAAGTTTTTTTTAAAATATTACTCGCAGTGTAGGCTACTAGAAGTCCCCATGTTTCTTTAAATGTAGCGCCTTACTCGCCACTCACGTGCACTCATCCTAACGTGAGCGTCAGTTGTGCCTACCGTCAAGTAGTAGCGCAGTGTACACGTTTCGGGTCGTTGGTAGGTTGTTTAAGCCCAATTCTCATGCTTCACACAAAACGCGGACGCGACTCGGTCCTCTGTGGTGGGTTGCTCGATTGTGGGTTTATCATGCCAGCTAATAAGAGCACATTTGTCCGCCTCGGCGGATCATTGGCTAGGGTGCTTGGCTACTGACCCGAAGGTCGCGGGGTCGATCCCGTCCACGGCAGTCGAATTTCGATGGAGGTAAAATGGTAGGTGCCCGTGTATTCTGCGATGTAGATGCACGTTGAAGACCACCACCTGCCCAAAGTTTCCGAAGCCCTTCATTAGGGCGACTCGTAATATCTTGATTTTTGGGACGCAAAACTCCACATACTATTATTACACAATGAACTATGCGATTCTCGTTACATTTTTGTACAGGCTCACTTGACATTTGATTGCATAGTTTTGCACATTTTAGAAACTGTCGAGTACATTGAACTGTGCTGCACAAAGATGTGCCTGGAAGGGTTACTAACTAGTTTGTCTTGAACTCATTGTGGTGCTGTTCATGTTTTCCCAGGCACGCCTCGGTGAAGCAGTAGTTATGGTGCTCTGCTGCTGACCCGAATGTCACGGGTTCAATCCTGGCCGTGGCGGTTGCATTCCTATCGCGGGGACTCATAATTATGTCTCGGTTTTGGGACTTGGAACCCATGCATGTTACATCAATTGGCTACTCAAGACTGTTGGAACTGAATTCCCGCCTTGTTTGTACGGCATTTAATTTGGTTGTGCTGAGGGAGTGACAGACAGGAAATCGGGACTTGTGCACCGTCCTATTTTCCATCAGTCGTTTGTAGGGATGACTGCCCATTTCTAGCTTGTGCCTGAAAAAGATAACAGCATGCTGCAATTTTTCTTTTTTGCAGGCATGATCGACTGCTTTGTCCGAATCCCCAAGGAACAGGGCTTCCTCAGTTTCTGGCGTGGCAACCTTGCCAATGTGATCAGATACTTCCCCACTCAGGCGTTGAACTTCGCCTTCAAGGACAAGTACAAGCAGATCTTCCTCGGTGGTGTCGACAAGAAGACCCAGTTCTGGCGCTACTTTGCCGGCAATCTGGCCTCCGGAGGCGCGGCTGGTGCCACTTCCCTGTGCTTCGTCTACCCGCTGGACTTCGCCCGAACCAGGCTGGCTGCAGACATCGGCAAGGGTGCAGGACAGCGGGAGTTCACTGGACTGGGCAACTGTCTTGCGAAGATCTTCAAGTCGGATGGTCTCATGGGGCTGTACCGTGGCTTCAATGTGTCTGTACAGGGCATCATAATCTACCGAGCGGCCTACTTTGGCTTCTTTGACACTGCTAAGGGCATGCTTCCGGACCCCAAGAACACTCCCATTGTCATCTCGTGGATGATCGCCCAGACTGTGACTACTGTGGCGGGCATCATGTCTTACCCGTTCGACACTGTCCGAAGGCGAATGATGATGCAGAGCGGTCGGGCGAAGCAAGATCTCATGTACAAGAACACCATACACTGCTGGGGCAAGATATACAAGACTGAAGGCGGTGCTGCCTTCTTCAAGGGAGCCTTTTCTAATGTCCTTCGAGGTACCGGAGGTGCACTTGTGTTGGTCCTGTACGACGAAATCAAGGCGTTCATATTCTAGGGACCATACACTGTGCATAAAGACTTTTGAGAGCAAAGTGGAAACGCAAGCTTTGCTGTGGCTTCGTGTGCCTCCCCCAGAGACTTGTTGTTGGCATAGTTTGTTCATGCCCCCATTTTTTTTTTTTTCGGAGTTGTAGTCGAATCTATATAAGCCTTGTTCTTCTGCCCTGGTCTATGGGGAAGTAAACTCTGCAGGATTGGAGGATGCCAGCCCCTGCCCATCACCAATTGGCACATAACTTAAGCACACATTCCACTCGTCAGTTTAGTTTTAATGGAATGAATGCAGAGAACTCATTGCTGGGGGGGGGTGTAAGGGGGGGGGGTGCTGTTGCTGGGCAGTTTTTGAAGCTAGAGCAAGTAATAAAGGTGTAGAAAAACTTGTCTGTCTTGCTTCTTTACTAGGTGTGCCTTGAACAGTTGATTTGAATCTGCTGTGTGCACACATTTCATCTGGCTGAAACACATCTTCTATTGTAATGTAACTTTACTTGGGATTCAGTTAGGTGAACTAGGTGGTTGTAATATTTTCAGATGCATTATTGCTATGTTATGCAAAGAGCTCTAGTGAGGGGGGGGAGGGCTTTCAGTTATCTTTAGTGAAAAACTTGCAAGCTTTTTCAGTTATTGAAAAATTGTTCGTGACCTGCAGCAGTGTAGTGTGAACGTGCGGTACCTAGAGACTTTGTTTGAACAGGTATACTTGGGGTGGAACCTTGTGTGTGGAATAGGTGTGAAGGGAAGTAACCAAGCTGTACGCTGAAGATCTGGTGGGAAGGGGCAGCACTGTGCAAGACCAGTAGAGGGGTGGGACAATTAAAATAGCAGACTTCTTTACTTTCAATAGATAGCAAAATCATGCCCAACGCAAAGGATTACGGGCTACAGCACTCGTCTGCATTGACTTCCAGTTCGAAATGCCGTGCCACCAGACAGCCATTCTTGTTCAGGGCCCTCAGTTTCTGCGTACCACCTAGCACTCATGGAGGCTTTTTCTAAAAAATTACTGCTTAATACGTTAGAGCTTAGATCCAACTTGATGAATTAAAGCAGTCACTACAAGATCACGAAAATGGCACAGTCATTTCTTCATTCAAGCAGCATGCACCTCTGTACATAGGCATTCTGTTTTCCAATAAAGGGGGTTTTCCAGCATTATTTTCTGCGCATCATAAAGATCTGTTCATTTATGTTGTTCACTCGTAGAATTACTCGTATAGTGAATGACAGCAGTAATATCTAATTTTAAAAATCAATGTTCTCGCAGTTTTGTGGCTTTCTTTATGCTTGTCAATCTTGCTTTACACGAGGTATCATTTCCTGACACACTCCTACATTGCGTTTAAATGCATGCTCAACACACGGTCAGAATGGAACGCAGTCTACCCGCACTGAACAGTTGTGTGTCTGACATAATAGGGACTCTATATCATGCAACTCTTCGCTTTTGAACAGAATTTGATTGTTTTACGTCCTGCGATAAATTTAACTGAGCAGTTGTATTGCGCCATGAGTCTTTCACACACTGCTGTTTCCATAAAAATGAATGACAGCCGGAGATGCAAATGTACTGTATCGGCGTGCTTGATCAGTACACGTACATGTCAACGTACTTTGACATTTGGCGGCATGTGTTCATATGTGGAAGTGATTTTGAAGTGGCCACCATTTGTGGTCGAAAATACTGAATGTAGGTGATTCTGCAAAAGATTACTGCGAGTTTCAAAGCATCAATGCGATCAAAACCCGCCTCTCACCATTCATGTTCACCCATTCCCACGTCTCGCTTCGTTCTCTGAAATGCGCGAAATATCGTGTATTCATTCGCAAAAGAATGCACGGATACAATGGCTGGACAAGTGGCAACATACACGTAGCATAATTGCACGTGTCTCCGCCCCGACTATACTGTGCAGTAGGCACCTTGTAGAGGCGAAAGAATATGCCTCGAACCGGAAGCACTGTAACGGACGACGCGCCGTTTCGCTATCTACCCATTTGCACACATGCTTTAATATTTTTCCGTTCACTACACTCTCACATTCGTGTTACATTTACGAACTACAGCGAAAGTGACTGAAGTAATGTTCCGGATGAGATAAAACATTGGGCAGGTCTCTGAACTGCCGTACTCTTGTTATTTTGCAGCAGTGTTAGCTCTGTTTGCAGAGGAAGACCGTGCCTATATGGCACGATCGTTTAAAATTTTGGCGTGTCACAGGTAGATTGGGAGAATCGGCAGGTGCATGAAATTGCTTGCAAGATAGCTGGAAGAAAAGTCAAGCACTGGTGGCGTGTAGTGCAGTTCCGAAAGTGACAAAGTGCCTATGCAATGCCAGCTAAGATTTTGGGGTTATGCGTCAAATTTATAATGGCAATCACCGAGATAGTTGCAGAATGAGGGTGCAGCCAACTGTTTTAAAATTTACAAGTGCATTACATAATCATTAGACATTGCAAGGTTTAAGAACACTGCCCACAATCTGTGAAGCGTACTCTGTCTTCGTCCTGTACTAATATGGTGCCAGTCAAATTTCGGTTTGTAGAACCCTGCTGACCAGTCCAGTCCCTAGAACAGCACGCATTGAGCTTCATCGATTTACACGTCCCGGATGGCTCCGGACGGCCCCGAACGCCGGCGCCGCATTCGTTTTTCTCGGGGACCAACTGGAAGCTCCGCCCACTGGTCCGGGATCGCTCGGACGCATGTTCGTTTTTCGCGTGCCTACGGGCGGCCCGGGACCGCCCGAACAATTTCTTTCGGGCCGCTGGCAGACGACAGCGCAGTGCGCATGCTGTGCGGCCATCTTAAGTTAGACACGGGAAATTTTCGATGCGCTCTTGCTCTCTCTTTAGTTTTTTGTCCGCTTCTCGCATGTTTCTGGATTTCACATTGTTAGCGCACCCAGTTTTTGTCATCGGTGTTCTGAGCAACGTCGAGCATGTGCGTATTCCCAAAGGTCGGGAAAACACACGTTATACTCGCTAGGAGAAACAGCGGTGGAACGACCGCGTCGGTCTACGATGCGCACGCGCTCGAGTAGTTCACTTACACTAAGTTGCATCACAACAGAAATAGGTATAATTCACTACCTAACTGCTGTTTAGGTTGCAAATGAGTCAGCGTTGTGGCCTGTGTTTCAGCTATGGAGGGAGCAGACGGCATAGCCAGGCATAGCAGACGCCACAGCGGATGCAGTCAGTATCAAGCGCGCAGATGGCCCGAGGCCGCTCGGGCTGGCTCGGGACTTTTAGATCACGTGCATGTGACGTAACCACCTGTGAGCCAAGGAGTCTGCGGGCCGTCCGCGAGTGATCCGGGACTTGGTAAATCGATGAAGCTCATTGTTCTAACACAAGTACCAATTTCGCAGGGAAAGCTATTACGAGATCACATGAAGGGTCTCTTCTGGCACAGTAGTTGTCTGCCACCACCAGTGTCTGCAATCACTATTGTGTAAAAAATTTTTAAAAAGTAAATAAAAAAAACGCCAAGGACACACTGAGACTTGAAACCAAGCCCCTTGTGTGTCAGTCCAGTTTTCTAGCACTCAGTCACGCCTGCGCTTGAAACTCCGTTGCAACACTCTTTATTATGAGTAATAAAAAAAAACAAAAGGAACCAGGCGTAGCACAATGTGAATTGCTTAACGAGTGGGTCATCGAATGCATCAAGCCATAACAAGACTCTGGCATAATTCTTCGTCGTTGTCAGCCACAGCATCAAAAAATGCGTGATTCCTTGCAAGTGAAAAGTGCGTACCATGCTTCCCCAAAGAATGGCACAGTGAATGCCTCTGCACTAGGCAAAAATTTTTCATAGCATAGTGAGTACCCTGCAAGTGTACTTGAAGCAGGTACCCCTAACTGTTAAAAAGGCTCTATAAAGTCCCGCTTTCAGTGACTGTGCTGTGTGTTCGATGCAGGCCTGGCGTTTTTTATTCTAAAGTCGCCATTGGTACATTATGCAAAATCCATGAAGCAGACGAGTCTGATGCTGGTGTAGCCTATGAAGGGAAACCTGAAGGCTTGTTGGTCCTTGTGTGTGCCCACTAGCCGCCGTAACTTTAAATGTAGATTAAATTTTCTATGTTTACTGGAGCCGGCACGCTCATTACAAAGGCCCTATCAAAGCCAAGGAAGCAGCCACTTTTTTTTTCCAATGAACTGCACCAGCGCAGCAATGAGATACGGAAAATCTATTTGAAGCGATGGACAGAACTGTACTTCATTCATTGCGCAAGATGAGGTGACTGCAATGATTACTTCAACACACTGATCAAGACTATTTGCTCAATTTGCCGTGCATTTCAACACAGCTTTGGCACAGAAATGACATCAGGGTACACTGGAAGCCGGCCCTGCGCAAAGCCTGCAGTCTAGAAAAATAGGAACGTGTGTATAATGCTAGGTAGAACTAGCAGATTTGGTCAGTGCTTGGAGGCCGTACACCAGTACTACGACTGCCGTGGCAAGCAAATGGGGCAGGCTCTGGCAGTACGTCACCAATAACACTGCTCCAATATTCTTGGCACTGCAACAACTCATAATGACTGAAAAATGACCTGCCAAAAATTTCACCATCCATTTCAAAATCTTTACCACAAGCATGTATTAGAGCTCCTTGAAAACGCATACATACCAACAACACATCTTCAGACAGCAAGGTTCCACTTTCGCTTACACAGCTGCGAAAATTAAGGGACAAAATAGAGCTCAAGGCAGAAGTGTCACGAATTTATTTCGGCTTCTTGAATGCAAGTTACCAGACCACGGTGTGCGAGGAATCGCAGCTCAGCATGCTCCCTCCAGAATATCAATTCTAATTTTAAAAGCTCAGTTCCCGCGATGACACTTGCCTCCAGAGAGGCTTCCTACTTACCTACCCTTGTACCATAAATTTTAAATCACTCACTACATTTACTAGTTTGCTTTCTCTTCAAAAAACAAATTTTCTGGAAATGCCCTGCAATAAGTTCATACACCTTACTGTGAAGTGTCTGGCTAGCTTTCTCGGCAAGAACACATGTGTTAACAACTAGAACAATTGAGTGGCGGGAAGCCATAGAGCCAAGGAGAAAAGTAATACAAAAACATGTCCACAATGATTGATGATTGTTGTTAATAAAGTTTTAGAAGGAGCAATTCCTCCCATAACCCGAATGGAACTTAAAACAAAACTTGTCTGTGCCGCAGCCTAGTTGTACTCCTCCGTCCTCTCCATCTTGAATGATGATTGGCTTTCACTGTTGTAGCCACTTCCCCCATCAACACCGCTGCCGTAGCCCTCAGCATTGGTCGACTCGTAGTTGCCTCCCAGTCCACCAGCCGATCTGCTGTCTTCCGCAAAGCCGTCTTGCGGCTGATGTTGCTGCAACTGATCACCACTAACTAGCTCCTGCTTGATGCCGTCGACACCCCGCTCGGAGCCGTTGCGCTCCCGACGACGCCTGTGCTCTCGGCTGCGGCTGCGGCTCCGCTTGCGCTTTCTCTCCCGACTTCTGCTTCGACGGCGCTTCTCGCGTTCTGGAGGCACTTCGCCGCCATCGGGCCGGTCGCCACGATCTCGGCGCTCACGGTCTCCGCGGTCACGGTCCCCTCGGTCCCGCTCCGGCCGTTCTCTGTCGGATCGTTCCCGATCGGGCCGTTCTCTATCGGGACGCTCTCGATCGGGTCGCTCCCGGTCAGGCCTATCACGACGTCGCTCACGCCGCTCACGGTCATCTTTGCTGTACAAAAAAAGAGCAACGTAGAATGTCACTAATTATGCAAAACAAAAAGATTAATAGCGTTACCTATGCAAGGGAAATTATAAACCAATATGAGTCCATGTCACATCTCCTACTACTGATCGCCTTTTAATAGGGCAGAGCACACAGAACCTGCACTCAAGTGAGTCCCTCTAAGTATACACCAGATGGAAATTATAGTATGCAAATGCACATTTCTTGTATGTCGACAATCACTTACATATACAATAGAATCATGATACCACAATGGCCCACATTTCGGGGTGATCTTCATTTTTCTGTGGTGCCGGACAAGGCCCATTAGCCTACAACATACCTGCGAACCTAGGAGCATCAAAATTCAGGAGACTGTGATGGAAGGGGATATACATAATTACTTTGAGTATGCAAATGCACATTTCTTGTATGTCGACAATCACTTACATATACAATAGAATCATGATACCACAATGGCCCACATTTCGGGGTGATCTTCATTTTTCTGTGGTGCCGGACAAGGCCCATTAGCCTACAACATACCTGCGAACCTAGGAGCATCAAAATTCAGGAGACTGTGATGGAAGGGGATATACATAATTACTTTGACATTTTAAACCTGCTGTCGTTGCTTCCATCCACTGCGATTGCAAAAGCACGGCATTTCAGAGCCTCCACTATTCTGTTTTCGTCATCTGCAGCCATTCCCCGACGATGGCAGTTGTTCTCTTTGTGTGTGCACCCCTTCAGCGACATTTTCCGAAAGCACGGTTTTGCTTGACCCCACGCTTAGCTGCAAGTTGCGTCCTGTAAATATATAGGCATTCTGTGCGGATGGCAGTGCTTTTGAAGCTTTTTTTTTGGAAAAAAAACTTCCGATGCTGCCCTTCCCTTCCACAGCCCAAACATAGTTACGATGCTTCTGTGAAGCAATGCCCACCTTTATCAGCGACGGAAGTGACTTTTTACTTTTTGGAGCATACTTTAGAGCAGGAAAATTACTGCTTTGGAGCAGCTGTGAGTGTTTTCGGAGCAGAAAAAAAATGCTAGCTTGGGGCAGCTGTTGGTGTTTTGAAGAAGATACCAAATTTGCCAAACATTAATTGGAGCTCAAAGCATAAACAAGGATCACGTAAACATTAATATTTGTTATGAGATATATTCAACAGACAATATTCAATGTAAATTTAAAGAAGCAAACAATTAAAATATGGATGGTTATAAAAAATATGCCATAAAATGAGCTTTATATTTAACACACTAGTATTTGTGGCAGACATAACATCGAACCTGTAAAGCCAAGCGCCACAATTTAGAAGGAACCACAGTCCAATTAATAACTGTAGCCAAAAAAGCAGTAAATATTCGGTATGATATAAAGGCAATCCTGCTCATTTTCACACTTCACCACACTAGCCTGCATGTCAAGATAAAAAAACAAATACGCAGCCAAATGAGCTCTTTGCTTAAGCCAGTTCTTGTTTCATAAACGAGATCAGAGTTGATAATGCTGCACACTAGTAGCACATTGGGATGATAGTATACAGATTATTTTCAGTTTCTTCAAGACTTATGAGTCGGTCAAACAGTAAAAGTTCGTCATTCTCATACGGTGTCAATTCGGAGCAGTTTAAAGCAAATGGACTTTCATCACTGCTTTATCTCGGCCTTGCCGCCGGGCAAAACCCTCACATTATAGGCGCAAAGTGTATAGAACTTGTCCCCTTTCCGCAAAGCCACAAAACACGGAAACTCCGCAGTGTAAGAGTCAAGAAACACTTGCAAGTGTTTCTTTGTTTTTGACATCGCCATCGACTTTCCAAATGAACTCGGTCGGGGAGACATGCGACCCCTATCACAATGTAACAAACACAACTGGTGCTGTGGGGGTGCCAACAACAACTGGTGCTGTGGGGTTGCTAACAACCCCCGTGCAGTCGTTTGCGCCTCGTGGTGCACACGTGTTTCGCACATTGGTCGCATTTAGGGTTGACAACCATTGAGTGGTAGGCGGAGTTGTGCTTGCGGGCCTTTATCGTTATGATCATGGCTAGCCTGCAGTAACGCCTGGCAGCGAGGCTGGGTAGCGGCACATAAGCAGTTCTCTTTTGACATGAGGCGGCTGGCGCCTTCCTGCGGCAGGACAGGGGGATGGCGCCACTGGCCATATTCCCGTGTGCCCCTCATGGTGAGTCAAGCATTGGCAAGGCCACCTACGTGTCATTTGTTTGTTGCTATGTTGGTTGAGTGCATTGTAATACTGTGTAAGCTTGTTTTAGCAAGTTGATCACTGGCGATGTATTTTGATTCGGTTGACGATATCGAGTATACAGCAGTTAAATGAATGTGTTCTGTTTAGTTTGGTCCAACTGCGTCTACTATGTCTGTTCAGTTTCGAAAAGCGTGGATCATGCCGAAACCCCACATCGCCTAGGCAAACCGCATAGGCCTAGCGTGCGAAATGCGGAGGACCAGACAGACATATGCACAAGTTGCTGTCCGTCACCTTCCTTTGGTACAGAGGCGAGCGTGTGCCATGGCCGCTAGCCTTAGCTCAGATGCGCGGTACTATAGTGCCCATAGAATATACTTAACGGTGCTCTAGGGTATGGTTACAGAAGAGTAGTGGCTCTGCACCGCAACTATCGCAGCAGGAAAGGCTGATATACACTCTTGATTAGAAAACATCTCTGCTGTTGTGGTTATTTTTCAGGAGATTTGAGATACCATTCATACAATAACGAAATTGGAGAGTTGGCAGGTATGTTACAATGTGCCAGATAGCCGTTGTTTTGAATCGATTTTCACCTGCAACACTTCATACGAGCATACACTACCTACAGATACAAACAGGTACTGCTTGCGTGCCTACAGAAATTACAGCAGTAATGCGCAGGCCGCAAAGCTGGTTTGGTTTATTTCTCAGTAGGACTCTAGTTTTCCTTTCCTGGTTCAATGGAATTAGTTTATGTAGTTCATGCATTGGTCCAACAGAATTTTTTCATGTCCGCTTTATTGAAAGACATTCAAATAATACATTAGTGCTTGTAACATATTGCTTGGCTGCTTAGACATGTTGCAGCAGAGTGCAGCAAGAACAAAGGAAGAACAAGAGACCATTCACTGTGAATTTATTCTATTTATTACAGAATCCACAATGAAGCGTTTCAGCTTGGGATAGCGTAGAGGTAGGTTTAGCATCACCAAACAAATGGCAGCACTTTTTTATCTTGCTGACTATTGGCAGCAAGGACATACTGAAGTACCATCTGCCGCCATCTTTTTTTGTGACGTATAAAATGATGTCACGTGGTACCAAATGCGCGAAGTGTTCGGTGAATCCAGTGATTCAGGCTGCTCAGCCCCGGTTTTTCTTGCTTTGTAAGCGTTGGATGTGTTTGTATTAGCTGCAAAACAACGTAGAGTGTCTGCCAACAAGGGTTTTTAGAGAGCTAACATGCAATCATCGTTGCGTCGCGCACTTTCGATGGAGCGCATTCGCGCAGTGCTATGTACGCCCAACATCAAGAGATGCTCTGGTATAAGGCGAGCTGTGAATCTGTAAACTGAAGCATTCTCACATTTCGCGACTTTTGCTTGGCCGAGAGGTAACGGTTCGATCAGCATGAACTGCTTCACACGATTTACGGCAATGCCTCTCCGCTTTGGCATGGGTTTATATTAGGTTCACGCACCTATTATAAAGGTATCCATCAAATCTTTTGCGCAATAACATTACTGTTAACAACGGCAGTTCGTGAAGCCTGTTGCTTTTGCCTGAACTATTACCGGACGATTGTTTTGAAAAATATATTTCAATACTTGGAACTTCACCCACATATATCTTAAAAGAACTGTTTGAGGACCTAGTTGGTGCATATTGACAAGAATTAATGCAGGAAAATCACAGCACTCGAGAGCACTTAAATCTTGTGTGTGTCATGTACAGTTTTTTTTTTGTGCGTTAAAATATTCTCGTCAATATGCTGTCTCACTACATGTGCGTATGTGCACTGCCGGATGTATTGAATCATATAATATTGTCACGGCTAAAGGCCGGGAAAGAAGACAGAGGACGATGAAGTGATGAGCGTGGACAGCACCCATGGTTCCTCCGAGAAAGAAGAAGTCGAAGCGGCTGCTCTTTTGTTCTGTTAATACGGACCTCGTTTTTTCTGGTCGCACTGTCGTCCTGTATTCTGTTATTTTCACCTAGCGACAATATTGTTCTAATACCTGCATGCATCGCCTGCTCGAATATTAATTACGGTATCTCCTTTTCAGTTACTCTTCCAACCTCCGACATCAACCAATTCATGTACCAGTAGCCCAGCACATTACCGCTGATAACAGAAGGAAAGACGACGTTATTCAGCCGTCGAAAAGCCCCTGGGCTTCGCCGGTTGTATTAGTGAAGAAAAAAGACGGCACCTTACGTTTCTGTGTGGATTACCGCAAGCTGAATCAGGTGACAAAAAAAGACGTCTACCCACTTCCACGTATCGACGATTCACTCGATCGACTACGCCACGCGCGTTATTTCTCGTCAATGGATCTAAGGAGTGGGTATTGGCAGATAGAAGTCGATGAAAGAGACCGGGAGAAAACAGCTTTCGTGACACCTGATGGCCTTTTTGAATTTAAGGTACTTCCATTTGGCTTGTGCTCAGCACCGGCAACGTTTCAGCGGCTAATGGACACCGTACTATCAGGCCTCAAGTGGCAGACGTGCTTAGTGTATTTAGATGACGTCATCGTATTTTCTGCCACATTCGACGAACACGTCAGGCGACTGCACTCAGTATTTCAAGCTATCCGTTCCGCTGGACTAACACTTAAGCCGGAAAAATGCCATTTCGGCTTCAAAGAGCTTCTGTTCCTGGGGCATCTTGTCAGTAGTGAAGGTGTGCGGCCTGACCTTGAAAAATTAGCCGCCGTTACGAATTTTCCAGCGCCAACTGATAAAAAGGCGGTCAGACAGTTTTTAGGACAGTGTGCTTACT